CCCATCCATCTGACCCTTGGACTAATAGTGATAATAAATATTAAGGGGTTGTTTGTTTACTATCTTTGTCTTGTGTATTATGTTTTTGTTTTCAATTTTTGTTAAAAATGAAAACAAAAATATGTTTGGGTATTGTTTTTGTTTTATATTAGTTGTATGGAGACAAAGACAAAAAAATGGGAACAAAAAATTTGTGTTCAAGGAAACAAGCAAAACAAAAACACACGCTACAGAGATTAATGAGATCCGGGTTTCGAACTTCCTTAGCAGCAAAAATAGTCTTTTTTCGTGAAACTATTTAAACCCACCTCATGTCTCTCTTCTCTCCATCGTTGCCTTACTCTCTCTATTCTCTTCTCTCCATCGCTGCCTCACTCTCTCCATTCTCTCACTGTNTAGTCTTTTTTCGTGAAACTATTTAAACCCACCTCATGTCTCTCTTCTCTCCATCGCTGCCTTACTCTCTCTATTCTCTTCTCTCCATCGCTGCCTCACTCTCTCCATTCTCTCACTGTCACCAACGAGGTGCAGCGATCTCCTTTCCTCTTTCTCACCAACGAAGAGGTAAGCCCCTTCTCTTTCTCTCTCATTCTCCCTCTCTCATCTTATCTCCTCGATCTCTCTCTATATATATATACACACAGATTTGTGTATATATGTTTATATACAGAGATCTGTCCATGTATGCATATATACACACAGATCTCTATGTGTTGTGTGTGTGTGTGTTACGTGTGATGTCTGTGTTTGTGTAATCTGTGTGCTGGGNCCTCTCTCATCTTATCTCCTCGATCTCTCTCTATATATATATACACACAGATTTGTGTATATATGTATATATACAGAGATCTGTCCATGTATGCATATATACACACAGATCTCTATGTGCTGTGTGTGTGTGTTACGTGTGATGTCTGTGTTTGTGTAATCTGTGTGCTGGGTGTGTGTGTGTGTGCACGTTGTGTTCTATGTGTGTGTGTGTGTGTTGTGTTTGTGTTTGTGATTGAATTGAGATTGAGATTAGGATTGAATTGTCATTTACTTTAGGATTGAATTAGGGTGGGATTGAATTGCCATTTAAGATTAAATTGGGATTGGGATGAATTATCATTTGGGATTGAAGTAATTCCCAGGATTTGCATGTCCCTCTACAGGTGAAGTTGTTGTTTTACTCTCTCTCTCTCTCGTTCTCTCAATGATTCTTCAAGAACCTATGAATTCTAACCCTAGTTTTGATCTTTTTTGAGCTAAGATTCGCATCTTGCGATCATTTACTTTCATTTTCGAGGGTTCTTACTTCTTGCTTGATCAGTGTAAGTAAGAAACTAAGGTGTGAATGAGGCTGGGTTGCAAAGAGATGAATTTTGGGAGAAAGGCTGCTACCATAGAAGTAATGAAGATTTTTTTGGCTTTTTTGTATTTTGTTGTATGAGATATTATAAAGCATATATTAGGATAAAACTTGAAGTATTTACCAAACATATTTTTTATTTTTATTTGCATAATTTGATAGACACAAATGACTCTCAAATATGTTTTTTGTTTTAATATTTACCACAAAACAGAGAGAAAAATTGTCTCTGTTTTTTATTTTTTTGAAGACACAAAAACAAAAACATTACCAAATGATCCCTAAATTACTAAATAACCCTTAAAATGAAGAGTGATATTTATATACTAGAGACACTTGAGGGTAAAAATGTATTTTGGCCAAATACATCTCAATTGGATTATTTAAACCCACAAAAACTGTGAATTTATTTAAGAGGTTATATTTGGTATTAAATATACTATTCATCCGGGCTGATATCATTTTTAGATAATAATATCAAGCCTAAAATATCTATACTACTTCCAAAAGCACTTTAAGTTGAAAAACTTTTGTTTGACTAAAATAACCTCAATAAAATAGTTATTCTCTATTATATCTTTTTGGAGTTAATAGCATTATTAAATTATGTGTAATCTATTTATATCTATATCTATACTACTATAAAATGCCACTTAACATGTAAAACTTTTATTCTTCTATTTTAACCCTAATTATTAATGTAAATTCAATTATAACCTTGAACTTTGAGAGTCTTTTGGCCTTCTCATTAAGTGATAGTAAATTATTTACAAAGTCTACCTGAATTACTTATTGATTTCAAATATAGCAACCCAAAAGTTAATGCCCTTAAATTATTTTTGGAAAGTAAAGTGCGCCTTAAATTTATTTTTATAAGTTTTGGTTTTATAGGCCTCTTAAGTTTCTTAACTGATTAAGAACATGTCTTCAAATTTCGTTGTGATGCAAATTCACAAAGACCTCATCAAGAAGGTCATTTGTAGACACCTACAAATAATGTGGAAATTAAACCCAATGTTCCATTTTCTTTCTCTGTTATTGATTCAAAGAGACTACAAAAGATGAATTAGGATGACCTGGATCCTGTATAACCATTTCGTTTGGTTATATATCCTATGTATTCTTTTTTCCTTGTGTGGCTTCAAACAGAACACCATATCAAGTAGTTCTTGTTTGGCAGGTTGTGGTTCTTATTGCCACTAAAAGGATATGCGTCATATCGTATAGCCAGTATCTCCTCTACTTCTTAAAAATTTGGACAACAAAGCTTCGCCAAAGTAATCCTCACCAAGTGGTTCACTCTCTTGTGTTCATATCATCTTATCACTATTTAGCAGTGGTCATCATTCCCATTGCACCCATTGCTATTCCACATGTTGGACAAATTTGCATTCCAAGTAACATTAGTTTGATGCAATGTGCACACTTATCATGTCCAATGCAATATTGCTTTGAAATATTGGCAATGAGATTTGAATAAAATCATAAAATTTGCAAGTTTTAGGGATTGTGTAGAACCTTTATTTGTTTTATTCAGAGGTTAAGTCATCTGCCATATTTTGTGGTGGCCTGAGGAAGCATTTGGTGAGCCTGATGGATATCAGTTAAGTGACATTGAAAACCTTCATACTTAGCTGAAGAAGTTTATGTGACTTCATTCCATATGTGATTATTTCTTTGCTTCAAATGGTGCCAACTTTTGAGTATGCAGCTGCATAACAAATAATTTTTGTGATAATTTGGGTAAAATCATTGATGATGCACAAATTGGTCTCGTGCAATATCAACAATCGNTTCTTTGCTTCAAATGGTGCCAACTTTTGAGTATGCAGCTGCATAACAAATAATTTCTGTGATAATTTGGGTAAAATCATTGATGATGCACAAATTGGTCTCGTGCAATATCAACAATCGAATATGTAAAGTGGTGTAATTAATAGACAATAAATAAAACAATCGATGACAAAACATTAAATATCGGGTTAATACACAGATACATAATAGTTTGATTCAGGTGACCTACTCCTCTTTCGGGAAACAGCAGCGGTGGCTGAGATCNCATTGATGATGCACAAATTGGTCTCGTGCAATATCAACAATTGAATATGTAAAGTGGTGTAATTAATAGACAATAAATAAAACAATCGATGACAAAACATTAAATATCGGGTTAATACACAGATACATAGTAGTTTGATTCAGGTGACCTACTCCTCTTTCGGGAAACGGCAGCGGTGGCTGAGAGCCTTTATTGATGAATAAAGTAACAAAGAGAGAGAGAGAGAGCTCCAAGAGATATATGCTATGGGAGAGGTACAATAGGTAGGAGAGAGAAGCTATGTGTGTAGGTATACAGAGGTGCCAAGGTGTGTTGAAAATATGTCTCTCTCCATGTTGAGAGATCATACAATATATAGGTATGNCTCTTTCGGGAAACAGCAGCGGTGGCTGAGATCCTTTATTGATGAATAAAGTAACAAAGAGAGAGAGAGAGAGCTCCAAGAGATATATGCTATGGGAGAGGTACAATAGGTAGGAGAGAGAAGCTATGTGTGTAGGTATAAAGAGGTGCCAAGGTGTGTTGAAAATATGTCTCTCTCCATGTTGAGAGATCATACAATATATAGGTATGGTGAGGTGGTGACGTGAGTATGAGGATTTTACTTCTTCAGGAAGGATAGTTACAAAAAGTAAATACAATTAAGGCAGGATTGATCTTCGTGAGTGTGTGTCCCGATAATCTCTCTCTCACATGCTCTTATCCTCCCGAGCTCCTTAGATCTTGGACTGAGTCGGATTGATAAAGCAGACTTGGGCTGCCCTTTAGCTGTTTTTGACTTGTTTGATTTATTGGGCTTGACCCAGTTGAATTTGAGCTCGTCAATCATCTTGCTAAGTGATCGGATGCCTGAAGACTTGGTCANGGAAGGATAGTTACAAAAAGTAAATACAATTAAGGCAGGATTGATCTTCGTGAGTGTGTGTCCCGATAATCTCTCTCTCACATACTCTTATCCTCCCGAGCTCCTTGGATCTTGGACTGAGTCGGATTGATAAAGCAGACTTGGGCTGCCCTTTAGCTGTTTTTGACTTGCTTGATTTATTGGGCTTGACCCAGTTGAATTTGAGCTCGTCAATCATCTTGCTAAGTGATCGGATGCCTGAAGACTTGGTTATGAAGATATATTGTGATGATAAAGATGTTGTACAAATTATTTTCAATAATTTAATATTTTTAGATAAACTGTTACTTTGTTGGAGCAATGGTTATGAGAAAAAAACAAAATTGCAACTTGTCAAAGTTGATGTTACCTGAGATGTTTACAAAAGCCTTGGTCATCAGCCCTTTTTCTTTTTGACTATTGTTCAATTACAATTTAAGTTTTTTTTTGAATTGTTTGCTTCAACACTTTAAAGTGGGATACTTCAAAAGGCTTTCAGGTTTTTATAAGAATTATGACCATTTTAACTTTTACTATTTTGTGAATAACCATTATGATTTGTCTCTTTAATGTGCTCAAAAAATTAAAATATAAATTAGTATTACAAACAAAAATATTAAACGTGTAACCCACGTAGGCATCTAATAATATACCTAAAGATGGATATATGAGAAATAAGATGGGGGTGGACGTTAATTTTTATGTATTTACTGATACCTAAAACAAACGCACACCGAATAATCTCTCTCGTTTATGAGTTTGACAAAAACCAAACGCGGCTCGGTCGCTTTCTTTCTTTCTCTGAGATCTCTGATTACATTTGATTTAGGTTATTAATTTTGCGGAAACTGTCTAACAGAGAGAGATCAAACGGAGATGATGACAAAGAACGGAGTGGTAGGATCAGATTTAGTTGTATCGGAGAGGAGGCCGAAGACTAAGATAGTATGTACTCTGGGTCCGGCGTCAAGGTCCGTCCCCATGGTCGAGAAGCTTCTCAGGGCTGGAATGAACGTCGCGCGCTTCAACTTCTCTCACGGATCACACGAATACCATCAGGAAACCCTAAATAATCTCCGAACCGCCATGGAAAACACCGGCATACTCTGTGCCGTCATGCTCGACACCAAGGTATACATCATCTGTATGTTAACTCTATTTAGTTTACCTCGTATATCCATCATCGGTTTTTTGATCAATCCGATGTACGGGGAGATATCTGATTGCTTTTGTGTACTCCTCGTATCACAAGTGTATTGATTTTAGAATTTTTGGGGAAATTTTGATTTCTGTCAATCATTGGCTCGACCGGTTTGTGTCCGATTTGGAAGGTAGGCTTGGTTGCGTTGTTTGTGTAGATTTAGAATCAGATATACCCATGATGTCTGTTTGTTTTTGTGCTTCTGTATTTTAGTGTTACTTGCTATGTTGGACAAGCCGCGTACATATGAACTCTCTAGAGGCAGCCGAGCCTTGTGCAGTGGCCGCCTTTTTTGTATGCTATGTTGGGTCTTCCTAATTCTTGGTTCTTTTGTATTGATGACACTGTGACTGAACTCTATCTGTAGATTCAGGTGCTGATCATGTTCCTCTCAGAGGGTGTTTTGGTTTTCGTCCTTTTGTATTGTTTGACTCTAATTTACCAGCTTTTCCAACAAGTATCAACGTCATACTTGATTGAATTTACCCCTCTGCTGCGTTGCCTGCTCTTTATTTTCCCATCTGTCCTCTTTGGCTATTTAATTTACTTTCTGATCTCTTGCTTGAAATTTTATTCAAATCCATGCCTACTCGATTATACCCAATTATTCCAAATCAGAATGATCTCTTTCTGATTGTGCACCTGTTTATCCTATTGTTTGTCTTCATATGTCTTGAGCAATTGGAGCTTTTTTATTAATTCTGCCTTTCTTTGTTTTTTCTTGGCTAGGTGTGTATAATTGGGTTTTTTTTTGGTGATGTTGTGGTTATAGCTACAGTTTAGCCTTTACAGATTCACTTGAGTGTAGTCACACAAAATTGACCAAGATCACCTTAATGTTTTCTGAGCCCTAAAATATTTTCTGGATGTCCTAAGAAGTTCCCTGACATTTGTATGAGCACATTTTGTTTTACAAAGCATTTCAGATGATAGCCTACCATTAAAGCATATCAGGAAAATAAAAATGAAAAAGGACTGATTTTAGAGACTTCATTGTATTGCATTCTCTATGTTTTTGGAATGTCATGTCTACGATGGTAGGGACATGCATTTATTCCATGTATAAATGTGAAGGTGGTCTGAAAACTCAATCAAGCTGTGAAATATTTGATTAGAATTGATGGTCCTGGAGCTTAAGTTGTTAGCTGGTTTCTGTTTCTTTATTTTTCTTTTGTNCATTGTATTGCATTCTCTATGTTTTTGGAATGTCATGTCTACGATGGTAGGGACATCCATTTATTCCATGTATAAATGTGAAGGTGGTCTGAAAACTCAATCAATCTGTGAAATATTTGATTAGAATTGATGGTCCTGGAGCTTAAGTTGTTAGCTGGTTTCTGTTTCTTTATTTTTCTTTTCTGTCTTTACATGTGGATTTATGTAGTACCAACTGTTGTTTATTTTATCTATTCTGTTTGGAATTGAGGGTTTGGTAAGAAGACCAGCATTATTATTGTGTACTATGCCATCGGAACATTAGAATGATTTGGTATTGAAGAGGAAAAATCTGTTTGTTGACGGGCAGCATTCAGAAAGAATGAAAGGAAGGTGCTTCCCATGGTTTTATGAAATTATTTTGTTATATGCAATGCATCAATCTTTATTCTTAGTGTGACTACTTTCAAGACTTGTCACTCAGATTTTCCTGACTGACTATCCTGTGTGTGTGATGTCACAGGGTCCAGAAATTCGAACTGGATTTTTGAAAGATGGCAAGTCCATCCAATTGAAACAGGGTCAAGAGATCACCATCTCTACAGATTATAGCATTAAGGGTGATGAGAACATGATTTGCATGAGCTACAAAAAGTTAGCTGAGGATGTGAAGCCGCATAGTGTGATACTCTGTGCAGATGGCACCATCTCATTTACCGTTCTGTCTTGCGACAAAGAACAAGGTTTGGTTCGATGCCGCTGTGAGAACACAGCAGTTCTTGGTGAGAGGAAGAATGTCAATCTCCCAGGGGTTATTGTTGATCTCCCGACTTTGACGGACAAAGACAAGGAGGATATCTTAAAATGGGGGATCCCTAATAAAATTGATATGATTGCTCTGTCCTTTGTTCGCAAAGGTTCAGACTTGGTGGAGGTTCGAAATTTGCTGGGAGAGCATGCGAAGAATATCCTTCTCATGTCAAAGGTTTGCCACTTTCTTGTTGAAGAGAAAACTGTTGAAATTCGAAGTCTAAATTTTTAATCTTTAATCATATAAGTGATTTATTTTTGTGCAGTTCGAGAACTTGTTATTCAACTAGTTTACCTTATGAGACCCCATGAATAGTTCAAAACATGTGATTAAATTTGTGTTCAACAAAAAAATTAGATATCAAGCATAGGTGAAAGAGTTTTGTGAGGCTTAATGGAAATTGACACAATCTATCAATTTATAAAATGTCATCTACAAATCTGGTAATGTGCTATTGGATTTCTGCATGTATTCGATTAACATAGTTACAAAAAGCATCTCTTGATTAAATGGTGCCAATGGTTGTTTGATCTTTTTTTTTTTTTTTTTTTGCTGTGGAGAACGTAGGTGTGTGACCTTCGAAGTCTCCCTTGTTGATTTTTGTGCATTTTCTGAACACACACAAAGAGTAGAGACAGTTACTTCTTTTGATGTCAAGTTGCTTCTAATGTCTTATCTTTTTGTTAGGTTGAAAATCAGGAAGGAGTGGCAAATTTTGATGAAATTCTTTCCAACTCTGATGCCTTTATGGTGGCACGGGGTGACCTGGGAATGGAGATTCCAATTGAAAAGATATTTTTGGCGCAGAAAGTGATGGTTTACAAGTGCAACATCCAAGGCAAGCCAGTTGTTACAGCAACACAGATGTTGGAGTCCATGATCAAATCTCCAAGGCCAACTCGAGCAGAAGCTACAGATGTTGCAAATGCTGTTCTCGATGGTACTGATTGTGTAATGCTTAGTGGCGAAACAGCTGCTGGAGCCTATCCAGAACTCGCTGTTCGAACCATGGCCAAAATTTGTGTGGAAGCAGAAAGTACAATTGATTATGGAGATGTCTTTAAAAGAATCATGACCAATGCACCAGTGCCAATGAGCCCACTGGAGAGTCTGGCCTCTTCTGCTGTTCGAACCGCAAACTCCGCAAAAGCAGCACTTATATTGGTCTTAACCAGAGGAGGAAGTACTGCAAAACTGGTGGCTAAGTACAGGCCAGGCATGCCAATACTATCTGTGGTTGTCCCTGAGATCGAAACTGATTCGTTTGATTGGTCATGTAGTGATGAATCTCCAGCACGACATAGCCTTATTTTTAGGGGGTTGGTACCAGTTTTGTGTGCAGGATCTGCAAGGGCTTCTGGTGAGGAGTCAACAGAAGAAGCACTGGAGTTTGCTTTACAACATGCAAAAGCAAAGAGCCTCTGCGAGAAAGGAGACTCTGTCGTGGCCCTACACCGTGTTGGAACAGCATCCGTAATCAAGATTGTGACCGTGAAGTGATCAATTTGATGCTGTCCTCCTCACTGGACCTTTTTGTTACTTGGGGTGATAAATAAGTTCTCTTTTTTGTCTGCAAAATTTTGCCATTTGGATGACAGATGTGACTTGCTAAAATTGATATGTTTCTTCTAAGTTGTGGGCATCGACCCTTTTGTTGTTGCCCGCGAATTTTTTTGACCTAATGTAATGGAATTCTGCTATTTTTGCCATTTGCCTACCTAGGCAGTAGGTTTGGACAAGTTGGTGTCATTTGATTAGCATTTGCAAATGGAACTGATGCTGTAGCATTACCATTTGGCCAGCATTTGCAGAGGGAACTACTTTGGCATTTTTTGGTTGGTTTTTGTGAATGAATCAACCACTTGGCATTTTCTTGGTTGGTTTGTGCCAACAGCGCGGAAGGCTTGATTTTGATTGCAGCGTGAGCAATATTTCTAATTTTGTTGGCTCTGCCCAGGTAAATCTTAATTCGCTTGGAAATATCTATAGTAGACCAGCATGATCTCACCTTTTAAGTTTGAGCCCTAGGTCCAGCACTTTATAGAGAGATCGGCTCATTTCATCTATTTTCTTTCTTTCTGACCGCTGGAATTGTGTTGTGTCATCCATTTCCATGGAGGCTATAGTAGCATAAGGGAATAGTACCAGGGTGGGATCGGGTGGACCAATTGGCTCGTTCAAAATGAGGGTTCAGTTTCAAATGAATAAATTCTCCAAGTTCTACTACAACCAGAAGGGCCACACTGGACGCCTTTCATTAGAAATAGCTTTTATAGTGAATAACTTTTAATGTAAAATTCCCGTGTCATTTTTTTCATTCATTAAATATAGAGTATATAGTGGGATTGACTCTTCACATGTAAAGAATTAAATTAAATTCTTTATTTTAAAGTATTTCCAATAGACTCTCTATTCTCACTCAATTCTCTATTTTGGAGAATTAACTCTTAAAAATTTATCTCTAATATACATTTTTCATTAAATGAAAAACTATTCTCCGGTTAGAATACAGAGTCTATTGGAGTTGTCTAAAATATTTTCCTTTCTATTTCAACATTTTATCAAAGATGTTCTCTATTTCAAAGAAGATTCTCTCCAAAATAAAGAATACTATTGGAGATGCTCTTAGCAAAGTCTAAATAAAGAGCCTAGTGGAGATGAATTTTCATGGATTGACTCTTTAAAATAAAGAATTGAGTGGGAATGGAGAACTTATTGAAGATGCTCTAATTATAGGATTAATCGAATTCTCGACAAACCAAAATGCCAAAAAACAAACATCATNTTAAAATAAAGAATTGAGTGGGAATGGAGAACTTATTGAAGATGCTCTAATTATAGAATTAATCGAATTCTCGACAAACCAAAATGCCAAAAAACAAACATCATATTTGAAGAATGAATTTACTCATAACTAGTCCCTAAATCGAAGGGGTTAAGACGGAAAAAATAATCATTGCAATAGTGATATCATGTCAATATTATTATCATGTGGTATTATTAACCAATAATATGCAGACAAATAAGGAAGTGAACCTCGTATAAGCCAATATCTACCCATTCATGTAAGTAGATAATTATTCAATCTTCTTCAATGTAATCCAATAACTACTAAACTGGGATTCATTTTATCTATTTGTGGTTTTATTATTAGTTGGTGATACCATGTTATTAATGTTGACATGATATCACCGTTATATAAAATATTCTGTCGAAAAGATGGGGTGGAATTACTATGGCGTGGACGTCGAATAAGAGGCTATATTTTTTCCTTCTTATATTCAAAAAATGGAAGTGAGAATTTTTAGATATGATAACAGAAGTCATAGTATCAAAGTTTATAAGTTAATGGGGATAAGGTTCATATTTTTTGTAAAACTTTAGAAAATTTGAATTTTTATGAAAAATGGCAAAACGATAATTAGTCGCTATGATACGGGTTGAAAACTCGAATTTTTCTAAAACTCAGATGAAGAAACAAAACTCACCGTTAGATTCGTCTCGTGAAATCTAATTAACTAGATAATTTTTGAATTTCGAGACAATCAATTTTTTTGTGTTTTTCGATACGATTGGATGTCCTATGACTAAAATAAACTTGATCGGGTTTAAAATTTGTGAAGCATGAAAAATAATTAAAAGTCAGTTCAAATAAATATATTAAACTTAAAACGGAACGAGAATTAATTGATTTCGAACAAAATCGAATCAGAAAAAGATAGAACGTGTGGCGCGTTGTGGGCCAAGCATCCAAGGGGTATAAAAAGGGGAAACAAATCAAAATTTTCCCCCCATTTGGCTATTGAATTTCGATAGAGAGAGAAAATCAAGGGTTTCTTCATCTTCTTCTTGCGATCTAGGGCCAACTTTTGGTCGGATTATTTCGGGCCAAAAATTAAAGTTCATCTACGCGACAAGAGCTATGTCTATGTACAAAAAATTCGGGATTTTGAGGAAGTCTCAAGAATGAAATTTTTGAAAATCAAATTCTAAAGTTTGAGTTGGGTATTCTTGGAGTTCCTATCATTCGTGTTACGCTTCAAGAGGTAGGATTCTTCTCCTATTTAGGTTTATTGTCAATATACGATTTCATATGAAATGGGTAGCATTGTTTGGGATGAAATCTCCTATCTAAATGTATTTTTAGTGTAACTAGAGTATGTGAAATGGTATAAGAATGTATAAAACCAAATTTTGCATGAATTGGATTTTGGGTGAAATTGTTCGTTTTGGTAATTTCATGAGAAATGTGTTAATTGGGCACGCTATGTGTTTACATTATATGCCTTGGTAGTGTTTGATAAAATGCCTATGTTGATATAACATAATTTCATTGAAAATGGTATAACATGCTTGGTAGAAATTATGGAATGTAATTATATGCTTATGATATAATTGACATTGTGAAAATGGTGTGTGTCATGCTACTCTCATGATATGACGAACATGACATTAAAATTATAATTGTACATCACATTGCATAAGCACGGAAAACATTACATTCGTAGGCATGTGACATAGGTGTGGGTGTACATGATTTTGATCAAACACCATTCTTGGTGGATGATGTGTGGGCTCGAAAAAATTGGACCAAGGTTCAACTGAGTCGCACAGGTTGCACTGAAAATAAGGTCGGGGTTAGCAAGAAAAGCTAGATTGTCCCTTGGGTACAAAACCCAATGATTTGGATACACACTCTGTTTGTATTGAGTACATAAAGTGTGTCAGCATATGCGGAGCCATTAGTGGAAGTCCATAAATGTCNAGCAAGAAAAGCTAGATTGTCCCTTGGGTACAAAACCCAATGATTTGGATACACACACTGTTTGTATTGAGTACATAAAGTGTGTCAGCATATGCGGAGCCATTGGTGGAAGTCCATAAATGCCGTGTCAGCTGGGTGCCCGTTGGTAGAAGTCCATAAATACCCACCTCAAGAAAGATCCCGGATTTATAAATGGTCATTGGATGAGAAACATCAATGGCGTGGGCTGGGAATGTCTGGATTCATACTCATGGCATTGCCTGTGTTATGGAAGCCGGTGAATGTTCGGGTTGTATTGCATGTGCGAGTCTCACCTCATAACATGACATGACATTATGACATTCGTTCTTGAAGTTGTATGTTCTTGGATAAAGGTTTGTTTGATTATTGAATGGCAAGTGAGCATTTCATATGCATCTAGGTTGGGGAGTTGCCTCTTTAGAAAATACCCTATTGAGCGTGGCTCACCCTTTATGGGGACAACATTTCAAGTGCGAGACAAGTGCTGATGGATGGCTCTCACTTGGGCCCTCATTGATGAAGAAAGTTAAGTTGTGACTTTAAATTACATTTTTGTAAAACAAGTGTGTAATTAATTTTTGGACATGTAATATTGTGTAAAGAATTTTAAAACGAACTCATATGAACTATATTTTGTGTAAAAATGGATGTTATATGAGTTTGGGTGGATGTTGTATGAGATTAGGTGAGTTGGAATTGAAAAATGATTGAATTAGGGACAAACTATGCTCTTCTACCAGTAGAACATTGATTATCTACTAGTAAAAAAATTCTAGAGAACTTTTCTACTGTTAGAACGTTGATTATCTACCAGTAGAAAAATTCTAAAAAGCTTTCCTATAGGTAAAACGTTAATTATCTACTGGTAGGTCCTCTTAAATTTTTAGAAATTTAAAATAATTTTGTTAAGCCTTGGGGCCTTGAGTCCTTTTGTTCAAAGATGTAAATGGAGTAATATTAAGGACAAATTGATGTATATTGGACCTTGGAATGGTCAAGTGATTGAAATGTACACATATTATGCGTTTGGGAGTGTCTGGTACAAAGGAGACTCTACCCAAACTCTGTGTTGTTTATGCTCCCGGTGAAAGGGATGTTATGTCGTGGTGTCTGATTATGCGGCATTCATAGGCAAGTTCTTCCCATCGGCTGTTCGACAAGCAAAATGCCTGGGAATTCTTGGATTTGAAGCAAGGGGCTATGACAGTGACAAATTACGTGGCTAAGCTCACCGAGTTAGCCCATTTTTTAAATGATTATGTGGCCATAGACTTAACCAAAGTGAGGAGGTTTGAGAATGGTTTGAAATTATCTATTCGAAGAAAGATTGTGGGCCNGATGTTATGTCGTGGTGTCTGATTATGCGGCATTCATAGGCAAGTTCTTCCCATCGATTGTTCGACAAGCAAAATGCCTGGGAATTCTTGGATTTGAAGCAAGGGGCTATGACAGTGACAAAATACGTGGCTAAGCTCACCGAGTTAGCCCATTTTTTAAATGATTATGTGGCCACAGACTTAACCAAAGTGAGGAGGTTTGAGAATGGTTTGAAATTATCTATTCGAAGAAAGATTGTGGGTCATCGCTTACAATCTTTGAACTCAATGGTCAAGACAACTATGACCCTTGAGAGAGGTGGAAGACGCAAAGGGCATCCGGGAAACAAGTGCTAAGGACAGGAAGAAGGAGGGTCAATCCTCTTCTTCTAGTTCTACCCCACAAGGGTATCNGACAACTATGACCCTTGAGAGAGGTGGAAGACGCAAAGGGCATCCGGGAAACAAGTGCTAAGGACAGGAAGAAGGAGGGTCAATCCTCTTCTTCTAATTCTACCCCACAAGGGTATCAGAGACAGGACCTAAAATATCAAGGCCAAGGTCAAGGTCAAGGTCAAGGTCAATCCTCCCAAGGTGGGAGAAACTTTAGAACTTCCTTCCAGGTAGGCCAAANACAAGTGCTAAGGACAGGAAGAAGGAGGGTCAATCCTCTTCTTCTAGTTCTACCCCACAAGGGTATCAGAGACAGGACCTAAAATATCAAGGCCAAGGTCAAGGTCAAGGTCAAGGTCAATTCTCCCAAGGCGGGAGAAACT